GGAATCACAGTGCAAAACCCACGTGCCACACATGTCTCATTCCAACAAGAGAGCTCCTGCTTGACCCGAGAAAAGGCCAACAGCTCCTCTGGTAGTTCTCTTGGCCATCCCTGACGAATGTAGGTGCAGAGCTGGGAGATGACTGGATCCTGTTTTGAGGCTGCCTTCAGTTCCTCTAGAGTGACCGTGGACTCGAGCGGAGTGTGTAGCATGTGAATAATCTCACTTTCGATGTGGTTGACGCTGGTGGGTGGGGCCTGGGTAGGAACTGACCGAGAGAGAAGGTCTGCAACGACATTATCCCGGCCCGGGGTAAACTGAAGAGTGTAGTTGTATTGGCGGAGGCGGTCATACCAACGATTCAGTCTCAGCGGCTTGTGACCGGTGCCTGTAGAGGAGAGCAGAGCTGTCAATGCCTGGTGGTCTGTTCTCAGCGTAAACTGGCGGCCATAAAGGTAGAGGTGCCATCTCTCGCAAGCCCACATGCAAGCGAGTGCCTCCCGCTCCCCAACTGAGTATCTTTGTTCGGTTTGGTTCAGAGCACGGGAGGCAAATGCCACAGGCCTCTCCACGCCATTCTGTACTTGTGATAGTACGGCACCTATCGCCATGGCCGAGGCGTCACAGGTGACCAGGGTGTGACTAGATATGTCAAAATGCGCCAACACTGGAGGTGAGGTAAGTTGAGCTTTTAGAGTTTGCACTGCCTTGGTGCATTCTAGAGACCAGACCCACGGCTCATCTCTCCGAAGCAGCTGCCGCAGTGGGGCTGTTATGGCTGAATACTGGGGCATGAACTTCATGTAGTAGCCCGTCATGCCCAGAAATGAAGCGAGCTGGGAAGCCGAGGTTGGTTCGGGAACGGAGAGGATGGCCTCCACATTAGACTGAAGGGGAGAGATGCCCTCAGTGGAAAGTCGGAAGCCTACATATTCAATGGCCGGCACCGCAAAAACACATTTGCTGCCATTGAGGGTTAAACTGTGCTTGGCTAGGGCTTCGAACACACTTTGCAGCCGACTGTCATGGATAGGAGTAGTAGCACCATGTACCACCACATCATCAAGGTAAATAACCACACCTGGTATACCAGCCAGCACTGAGGTCATGACCTTTTGAAAGCAGGAGGGGGCGGAGCTAAGGCCAAATGGCATCCTCGTGTAGCGGAAAACACCGAGGTGTGTAACGAAGGCCGTAAGGTTTCTGCTTTCAGGGTGGAGGGGCACCTGGAGATAGCCCTCTCTAAGATCCAGTTTTGAAAAGACAGTGGAGCCGTGAAATTGTGCCGTGAGCTCCTCAGACGTGGGCAACGGGTATCTGTCTGGGATGACTGCTTTGTTTACTGCACGGAGGTCCACACATATGCGCAGAGCCCCTGTTTTCTTTCTAACCACAACCAAATTCGAAATCCATTGTGAAGCATCAACCGGCTCAATGATACCGGCATCCAGCAGCCGCTGCAGCTCAACGGACACTCCATCCCTCAGGGCCAGTGGAATACGGCGCAGTGGCTGGACGACTGGAGTCACAGAGGAGTCAATGAGGGGTTGATGCGCGAAGGCAGACAGACAGCCCATCCCTTCAAACAGTGATGACCACTTCTGATGCGGTCCGGCAGCGACAGTCATGATGGCAGCCCCCCCTGTGTCAATGAGTGAAAATCCCAATGCCATGAACAGATCCAGCCCCATTAAATTCGCCCCTCGTCGGGCCACATTGAAAACAAAGGAGGGCAAGACCCTAGTGCCATAGCTAACAGTCACTGTGATGGACCCCAACAGGTCAATTTGTGAGTCCCCATACCCGTGTAGGACAGCAGTGGGCGTAGACAGTGGACAGAAATGGAAGAACTTATGGTATGTACTGGCATTCAGGAGGGAGACACTTGCGCCTGTGTCTAACAGCAGGGGAATACACACTGTGTTAATATTCACTGTACATGACTTGAACTGCATGGGCCCCGATGTTACATGGCGAATTATTGTGGGTGAACCACGGGGAGTGTGTCCATCCGACCTGGAGGGGGCAGAGCGGCACATTTTTGCAAAGTGATTTTTTCTTCCACAGTTACGACATGTTTGGTTATTAGCTGGACAGTTCTGGGCTCTGGTGGCATGTGTGTTTGATCCACAGTTACCACAGGAAAACTGCCTTTGACGCTGACGCAGCCCTTGTTGTCTTGTGAGATGCATGACTGAGTCTGGGGCTGTGTCTGGTACATCCAAGCCAGCGCTAGATGGCTGCTGCTGCTGCTGCTGTTGCTGCTCATGTGACTGTGCACTTATGCATACTGCTTGGCTTAATGATGATTCTGTCCGTGTTAATTTAGCTGCACATTCAGCTGCACTTTCAATTTGGAATGCAATGGCAACAGCCCTAGCTAGTGTCAAATCATCTGATTCGAGTAGTAACGTCTCCCTGATTTTAGACTGTGTAGTGTGCTCAATCAGCTGATCTCGTATCATCTCGTCCGTCAACGCGCCAAATTTGCAATGGCTGGCTAAACCTTTCAAGTTGGAGACGTACTGATGGACAGACTCACCCGGGAGTTGATGTCGTTGTCTAAACAGAAACCGTCTCAATAAAGCACTCTGTGGGGCAGCAAACTGATCTTTTAAAAGTTTAACTGTCTCTGCATAGTCTGTATCTGCCCCGTTGCCGGTTAACGTCTCCAGTACGCGTTGTCCCTCGACTCCTAAACAGTGCCTCAGCAAAGCTGTTTTCCGAACTGCACTCACGTCGGCTAGTCCCGTAGCTTGAAGGTACGTTTCAAAAGACTGATGCCAGCGATTCCACGGTATTGTGGGCTCACCGGGAAGCGCGAGGAAAGGAGGTGGAGGAGGAAGTGAAAATTCAGCCATCCTCGTCGCCAAATGTTGCATATAAAAAGGACGCTGGACAAGAGGTTAATGCACACAACTCACTTTACTTTTAGAAAAACAGGAACTCCCATTTCAGACCAAAACAGCTGCATACTCAACACATGCATCAAGGCGTTACCAAACGAACACAGATTAATTTATCCTGAACGGACATAACAGTGTTCAGATTCGATGTGTGCTCCTGTGCGCGTGCATGCGTATATGAGTGATTCGAATTTTAGTTGCTATAGCGACGCGTGTTATGAATTCTAAATGCATATTTACACTTGAACCGATCGCTGTCTGTTGGTTGAGAGAGACGAGGCGAATTCACAGACTTTGCAGAATATCTTCTGAGCGAATCTTGTGACTTTGAAGCTGATTTCTGAGAGGAGACTTTTATTCTAGAAGGACAGCGGAGAATATATCCTCTATATATTGTTTAAAGTTATATAATTTCTGAGAATACTTTTATTTTATACTTTTCTTATTGTAGAAGGAGTTGTATTACATTTTTTTATTTTAGGAGATTAGTATTTTATTGTATTGTATTTTGTGCTGTATTTTGTGTTGTGTTTATTGCAGTTTGGAGGGGGATGTCGATGGCTCACATGATGGGTGAAAGAGGAGGTGAGTGCTTTAGTTTTTCATTTATGGTTTATGGTGTGATTTTGTACAATGACTGACTACATTGAGGGATCAAACGGGTTCTTCACATTAATCTAATCACATGTATTTGATTCCTTGCATGTGAAATTTGAGTAACCGAAGTAACAATTTGTAATTGACCACTGACATTGATTATTATTATTAAACATTACTAACTACAGTATGTGATGTGTGAAATATTCCAGCCTCAGGCCGCTCCAGATCCAGGAGAGCTGCTTTCTCTCAGACGGCTGGTCAGGAGGTTTGGAGACCCGGTTCTGATGACCGTGATCAGGATTCGCTGCCAGACCCGACCCAGACACAGAGCCAGGATCTTCCTGGATATTTAACACCTCTGTCTTCTGAGTCTGTTTCTGTGTCCACAGGTCAGGCTGACAGGAGGAGGACGAGGAAGAGCGGCAGCCAGAAGAGCCCGGATGATGGACGTCCGTTCACTTCATCTAAACACTCTCGCAGAGGTCAGAATAGGCTTTAATAAAGAAGTTATGGCTCAGTTTCTAGTTCTATTTTCAATGGCTGATTTGTCATTGAAATAAGTTGAACCAACTAAAGTAACAATTTGGTGTGACCACTGACATTGATTATTCATATTATATAGCCTATATATAAAAAAGAAACAGTTTTTGATGTGTGAAATTTTCCAGCCTCAGGCCGCTCCAGATCCTGGAGAACTGCTTCCACTGATTGTTCTCCGGGCATCATGTCATCATCAGCTTTGTCCCTCTCTGAGGTCAATGTGGAGCGCTGGTTCTGTAGAGAGTCGTTGAGTCTGAGCAGCAGAGGCTCGTACAGCGTGGAATGGAGGAGGAGTGGCGATGGATCGGAGAGCCCAAACCAACAGGACAGTTGCAGCGACTGCTGTTTGTCCAGGTCCCACAGCCTGGAAGGGTTGCTGTGCCCTCCGCTGCCCGGGCAAGTTCCTGTCGAGCCAACAGAGACTTCAAATGGCCGAACTGCTCAGGGTGCCATGGAGGCTTCTCCTGTGAACAAGAGCTCAACAGGTGAGGCTGAAATAAGGCTGGGCAGAGTCAAGTCTACAGAGACATTTGGCTTTTTCATGCAAATATTTCAGTTTTTAACATGTTAATGTCCGGTCACATTTACTGTTGCTCAGCAAAATTGATCTGAATTAAAAAAAAAGAATTATTAATATTTTAATTGGACATTCGTCTAACATTTTCAGAACATTCAAAAGTAATTTTCCCATAATGCAAATTATAAAATAGAGTTCCTTTAACCAAGAAAAAAATGTTTTTAACCAGTTGAAAAAACATTTTTTGAAATAACATTTTCACAATTTAATGGAAATGTTAGCAAAACGTTCTCAATAAGCGATGAACTCGATGGTACTCGCTCTGTCTGACACACACCAGAAACACGCGCACAGAAAGCCGCTTCTCAGCAAACGATCCAGAATAGAATTATATTTCTATTGCTCTTGAATTGTCAAATACACGCAACATTGTCAAAATGGCTGTCGTGCCGAGTATTACAGAGTCGGTTATTATATAAATAAGACACTGCTATGCATTTAATAAAAGTCAATATATAATCTAATGTAAATATATTTTAAGATATGGCCCATATGATCTTTGCCATTACCAGAACTGATCCACATGTGCCAGAGTTGAGCAAATGAAGCCTGGAAATGGATGTTTTGTTTTCAATAAAAGATCAGATAAAAAAAAAAAAAAACTATATCGTGATAATTGTGAAATAAAATGACTATTAATATCGTGAAATAAGATTTTGGGAAATGTATGCAGGCATTAAGCAGAAGTCAGGCGGGTAGCGTGGGAATATTTCATTACTTTGGATCTGTTACATTACAGATAAGAATTTAACAGTGATATGTAAATGATGTCATTATTGCTTAATTTGACGTCAGAGATCATGTTTCTAATAGTTGTGTTTTCAATTGTTTTTTCTTGATTTCAGACAAAGCTACAGAATCTAGGAAGAACGGAACGGGTTGTTTCCTCTACAGGCTCTGGAAGGCTGTGAAGTGTGTTTTCTGCTGCTGTTGCCACTGTAGTGCTGTGAATGTTGTGGAGCCTTTTGTTCCTCCAGCAGATCTGGAGCCAGAGCCTGATCCTGATCCATCATCTCCTGCTCCTGATCACTCCGGCGTCAAGACAAATAATGGTACATCGCCACTCATTATTCTCCAGCATTATTCTAAACAGTATTATCTTGTTTTCCACTAAAAATAAGGCTTGTTTTCAGAGAACATTAAGATTATTTCCCCCATTATAATATTATTATCTAGCAAATTAATATTTTTCTGTTTGTTTTTCAGAGTCCTTTGAGTCTCTCTATAGCGTTATAAAGATGATTGGATCTGGAGGATTTGGCAGGGTGTACCAGGGAACACGCAAATTTGATGGCAAAAAGGTCAATCTTACCGAATTGTACAAACATTTTGCTCTTGCATGCATCAAAACATATTTAAAACAATTCACAGATGGTTTAATACTTAGTGCTTGAAAACTGTTATTGAAACTGGGTTGTTTTTTTTTGCAGGTTGCCATCAAGCGGATTCGCAAGATTGACAACAATCGTTATCTTAATATTGTAAGTTGGCCAAAAGCTGAATATATATATTTGAGTTGTTTAAGTGCAGATTACTATTGGACAAGATTACTTATCTAAAAAGATCAAAGAAAAGTACATTTAAAAATGATGCGTTTTCTTCAGATTTTTACCCTGCTAACCTTCCGTCTGCTACTTTTCTCTAGCCTGGGCATCCCGAACCTCTCGTTACAGAAGTGGCGCTGCTGATGATGATGAGGCGAGAACCCATAAGCCCCTTCGTCATACAACTATACGAGTGGTTTGAACATCCTAAAGAATTCACTCTGGTTATGGAGTATCCTGAACCCTACGATATCTTGCTGGACTTCATCACTCGTAATCATCAAATGCATGAACCAACAGCACGGTTCATCATGCGACAGGCTGTGCTGGCAGTGCAACACTGCATCCATCATGGGGTTTTCCACAATGACATCCATGCGCAGAATTTCCTGTTGAAGAGAGACCCGGTACAGCTCAAGCTGATAGACTTTGGCTGCGGTCAGCTGTTTAGTAGAGATGGCTACGAGAGCAACATTTACATTGGTGAGCATTCTGGGAGTGTGGAAACCTGAATGTAGTGACTTACTAATTATTTGATGTTTACAAAAAAAGCTCAACAAAGTGCAAATGTGTTGCTTACAGGAGCACCGGATTACTGCCCACCTGAAGTCTTGACAGAACCTCGATTCCACGCCGTCCCAGCAAATGTCTGGTCTCTAGGAGTGTTGTTGTACAAGATGATGAACGGATGTTCTCCTTTTCGCAATAGAAGAAAAATCACACAAGCCAAAGTTACATTTCTGAACCCCACCTTATCCAAAAGTGAGTGAATAATATTGATACATTGATAAACACACACATAAAGCAAAGGCGTTGTACAGAAACAGTTAAAGGTGAAGTATGTAAGATTTTTTATATACAGCTCAATGTATAGTAGAGTTTGGGGCGTCGCTACTGTAGCAGGCGGAGCCATGGGAAAAGAAATGCAGCTTTAGTTACAGAAGTGAAAGCCAAAATTCACTGCATTTATACCTTCAAAGATTAAACAGGTCATGAACACGTCAAAGTGAACAGAGCATTGTGATGCTACGCGCTACAAAGCACGCTTCAATACCATACAGCATCATCATGCACTCGTTCAGAAAGACACATTTTCATAAAGACAAATGCAACACAGCTAAAAGTATTCCTAATATGTTGGACCTGAAACATGAACCAGTAAGAGCTGCGTTTGTGATGTTTAAGTCGGGGAAGACTTTGGGGCCTTTGCAAGGTTTTTTGAAAATATGCTTTATTTTGTCATTTATTCCTCTCGCTGCCACTAGTGTCGCAGAAACGACATACTTCACTTTTAAAGTAAAGATAAGTCACATTTTGCAGTATATTAATCATGTTTTAGATGCTGTTTTCATAGATGCCAGGTCACATGGTCATGACTAACCAGCTCTCTCCTTATTCAAATTTGTACAGAATGCAGGGATCTGATTAGCCAGTGTCTAGCCCGGGATCCAACTAAACGCCCGACGTTAGAGCAGATGTTACAACATAAATGGATTAGTAATGATCTACAGTAGATTGGAGAAGTTCAGGAGATTCACTCGATCAGTTTCAGGTGTGAGGAAGTGTAACAGAGAGTAGGATTATTACCTTTTGTCTTCAATTCTGGATTATTTGTAGTGAGATTTTCAAATTTGTGTTCATTGTAATGTTCTTGCTATAGTCAAGTCACCTTCATTTATATAGCGCTTTATACAATACAGATTGTTTCAAAGCGGCTTCACGGTAATAAACAGGAGAATAACAGAATCAGTGATGCAAACAGAATTAAATTCTGTTCTAAATCAGCTCTAAAAAATCATTCATGAGTTGACTTATTCATATAATCTTTGTATTGGATAGGAAATGACATACTTGCTGAGAGCTCTGAGCTCGAGACTCGACCCGAAGCCTGAAGTCCAACTCCATCCTGACAGGAACTCAGAGTCTGTCCACGTCTGAGCAAGAACACGAGAGACTGCAAGACTGGAACGAAGTCATCAAGTCATCACACACACATTTGCTTTGTTTTAAAGGTCAAGACAAGTCATCTTCTACAAACATTTGTGAAAGAATGTGTCGCTCTCAGGAGCTCAGTGAATTCAAGTGTGGTACCGTGATAGGTTGCCAACTATTCATGAAATTTCCTCACTATTAAATATTCCACGGTCAACTGTTAGTGGTATTATAACAAAGTGGAAGCAATTGGGAACAACAGCAACTCAGCCTCGAAGTGGTAGGCCACGTAAAATCACAGAGCGTGGTCAGTGCATGCTGAGGCGCACAGAAGTCGACAACTTTCTGCAGTCAATAGCTACAGACCTCCAAACTGAAGAAAAAGATTAATATTTTAACGCCATTTTGTATTGTTTAATTTGTTTTGTTTTTTATTGTATTTTGTTCAATGCGTTTATATTTTGTACGCTGCATGGTTTCTTTTTATGCTTTTAAATGCTCAATGTTTTATTGTACAGCACAGTGTGCAGCTCTGTTGCTTTTAAATGTGCTATAGAAATACATTTTGACTTGACTTTAATTTGTGTCATTGATTCATTTTAGATGCTCATGAACAGAGAGAGTTGAAAGGCACTGTAAAATGCCAAAAAGTAAATGCAGACCCAGTACTTTTAAAGCCCATTCACACCAAGAACAATAACTATAATTGTAACTCTATTAGCGTCCACACCAATGACCGATAACACTGTTCACTCTAAGGATTTACTGCAGTTTTGTCGTCTGCCACTTTAAATGCTGGAGCTCTGTCAAGTGGAATGGATTCTGATTGGCTGTCAATGTTTTTATTGTTCATTAGCAGGAAACAAATCTGAAAGTTATTCCAAGATATTGTTTCTCTGTGCATTATAGTTGTGGTGGGGACTCTGCTCTTCTTTTTAGATTTAGAATGATTTTTTAAAAAAGAAATCTTTATCATTATAGTTATCATGCTAGGTGTGAACGGGCCTTTAGCACGGTAAAAAGAAAGGTATTCAGGATTGCAATTTGTCAGAATACCGATATGAGAAACAGAGAGTTCCTCCTCACTACACGTGTCACAAGTTCAAAAGAGACTATTGAGAGGATTCTCCATCCTGATAACGTCATTTATGTTGACAAACAAAAAGTATTAATACATATAGCTGCAAGAAGTAATTTTTGGGGCAGAGCATGTCAAAACCAAAGTGACAGGCTAAGCAAGCATGGCAGGGAGCTTGCTGACAAATGGGCAAAACCATAGACTGTAAAAAAAGATGGACGACGCCCCTTCACTTTCTTCCATTGGTGAAAAGTGAAGCCGCCAAAGTCCTAATATGGCGCTGACATTTGGGACCTGCTTCTGCGCAGTAGTGAGCGGGAAGTGGAGGCCACCCTCACTCTCGCAGAAACAGTTAGTACAAAGTTTACTGTGTGAAATAATAAACAGTTATGAAATTAGAGTTAAAATTAAAGTTGAAGCTCCAATCTCCTCCCGAAAATCTCCCAAAAAAGTCTGTTGGTGCCTCGGTGACTGTTGTAGCAAACTAGCTCTATTAAATATTAATTAACAATCATAACTTGTTATAATTGATTATGAATATTTGGATCAGTTAATCGGGTTAACTTGATGTAGCTACATTAACATTACAACCAATTACTCGGTTAATCCCGTGAACACTCAATATTGGTTAATAATTTTTTTTATAGAAATTTACATTTCCGGGGCATGGGAAATGTCTTTCTTACTAAGTACTACTAAGAGCAAGTAGTCAAGATCTATGATTAGTGACTCCAGCAGTGGCGGTTCTAGAGGGGGGGCCAGGGGGGCCCGTGCCCCTGTGACAAAAAGCTTGGCCCCCCTTGTGGCCCCCCTAAATGTGGAGTTTGAAATAATTTTTACAAAACTGTTTTTTTGCTATCGTATGCGTATTATTTTTTATTTTTCTATCTTTGTGGATTTGCATTTTCACGTGACAATTCGCATCACATTCGCGGGAATCGCGGCAGAATAACGCCTGTCTCCTGCACGCGAGAGAGGAGAGAAGAAGAAAGTTGGTAAATGTCAGTTCAGTTGTAAGTTCATTCTTTATGTGCGTATGGCGTGTGCGATGTGTATTGTCTATTATGATATTGTAATCATTGTTTTAACTATGTACGAGGCACTGTGAGCTGACATAGCATTTGTCTATCGTCCTTTCACTGCTGTGTGCAGTTCATAGGTAGGCTATGTCCCCAAATTAGTTTTTGTCTTATATTTATATCATATTATGTTCTTATATTAGAATATCACATCAGCAAGAGTGCCGTTTTCCCGTGCACAATTGCAACTGTGATATTTATGTTATACAACAGTTAAATTAACAATAAGTTAACATTGGGAGTTACTTTTTAGACACAATATTGTCAATATTGTTTGTTTTCCCTTTATTTCGCCGACTAGAATTTCATAATGAAACCGTAGTAGTGAGTCTCAATGCAACACAGCGATGATTTATTGACTGAAATCCGCGTTTTGAACGAATCACTTGCTTCTTTCCCGAATGAATCAGCCGTTTGAACAAATCGTTTGAATGAATGAATCCCTCTTACAGGTACTTGCCGCCGCCTACTGGCGGTTTTAGTTTCATATTTAAAGTATCCTTTAATTAAAACGTTAAAATTAGAAATAATTGTATTTTAAAATATTGATTTAAAAAAAATCTCATAGCTTTATTTATGCAATTGTAAATGGAGTGTAAATATATTAATGCCAATTCTGTGTCACCTCTGCACTGCAAAGATGGATTTTGATTGAATTAATTAATTTGACTGGTAACAGTGGTACTGTATAATTATTGCATAATTAAGTATTATTGTATAAATAAGTATAATTACTGTATAATTTGAATGTTAGTATTTGACATAAAAGGTGATGCATAACTCTAAATAAGTTTAGAAAAAATGTCCATATATAGGTGAAAATGCCCCTGGAAATCAATTTAAGGCGGCAAATATTGCCTCTTAATTAAAAAATGTATTTCTGTCACTGCTGTGAACTGACCACGGCATAGAATATGAAAAATATTAATATCTTCGTGAGTCAGCTGTCAACAACAGGCCTAAACCAGCCATGGCACCAGCACAAAAACACAATCAGTAAAATATTATCTAATTATTAACAAAATGTTGAAAATATTGAAATATATTTTTGTCAATATTGCACACCCCTAATGTACGGTATTAATTTTGATTTCTTTAGGTCTTAAAAAGCCTCAAATTTGACTTTAAAAAGTGTGCAGGAACCCTGTAAACGGTTAGACATATCAAGTCAGTTATTTTCAGTAAATGAATTAATAAGCTTCTTGGTCCCCATTGCTTTTGCTCTATAGTTCTCAAAATGAAGAGAAAGAAGGACATCATGTCTATTACAGTTACTGTGACTAATACTGAATATGTAATGCAAATGTAAAAATATAATGGAAATGCAAATACATTGTTGAATGATTATAAACACGGTATTTTGCCTGTTAATGCCTGCAGCAGTGCAGAAAATGATATGACAACAATAAGGTCTAAATGTAACTGGCCCCTCTAACAGTACAACTGGCCCCAGCTTGGCCCCCCCAGTTGAAATGGGCTAGAACCGCCACTGGACTCCAGATATGAGCTTGAGACACGGACAACTTTACGTGTGATATAAAAAAGACTTTATTAACTTAACTAGACTAAACATTTAAACTACTCTAACATACACATACATACCTGTACATGCATACAGTTCACCAAGGGAAAGCTGAAGCAGAATACAGGAAAGCAAAAGTTATAGCATTGTTTGATGTTCAGCAGATCAACAGCCTGAGCAAACCATCAGTTTAGTTCTAACACGCCCTTCTTTAAAAGGGGTAAGGATACTTAATGTATCAAATAATGAGACTAAGTTTGATACTTGCATGTCTCGTCCAATTGCATTAAACTGTCCGGATGCAATTTGTTGAGGCTCCAGTTGATCTTTGCTTATGTTGTCTTGATGAGAGAGAACCAGTGGTAGTCAGAGGATCTTTGGTGAATGGAAAGACAAGGCCGCAGCCTGGCGCAAGCTTGGGAGTCCTTGAGGGACTTCTAGTTCAGCATCATCTTCACGTTACTTCTCAAGAAGGACCGAGAGAGTAAGAGATCCAGAGGCTAAGAGCGCAAGAGGCTAAGTGGACAAGAGACAAGAGCAAAAGGAGCAAGAGGGAGCTGATCTTGATGATCAGTGATTTTAAAGCGTGAAGACGTCACACCCTCTGGAGGTGCGTGAGCCTATGCGAAGCTGCCCCTTTGGAGGGAGTTTTACGACTCATTGTCTTCTAGCAGGGCATTTGAATGTTTAATTTCTCAAACCAAAATAGTTTAGAAGAGAGAATGAATACATAGGCCAAACCACATAAAAGGAAAATTATGATTGAAAATTAGATATTAATACATTTATCACATGGTTATATATATAGAATATATAGGATTAAAAGGGTTAATTTATTCTTCTCAGCAAGAATTAAGAGAGTGTCACAATTCCCTGCACATTCTTTTGGGTCATAAAACTTCAGTCTTACTGTGTACTGTAACAGGACACCGAGTTCTGCCAGTGTGTAGGCTTCATTTGTGGGGGAAGTTTCATATAACTTTGTTGGAAGAGTGATTTTGTTGGATTCTTCATTAAATATAATGATTAATTTGTGTGTGTCTGATTGGTCCAGATGCTAAACTATTTCGTTGAGAGAAGCTTTCAATCATGACGTCACATCAGGCCTCCTGGAGACACTGATGTTTTCTTCAAGGTCAGACCAATCTATGAGTCCATAAGGAAACGCTGTCTGCAGCTACAACTGGAGGAAGATCTCTGTATTGATGAGCAGATTGTGCCTTTCAGAGGGAAACTCTCTGTGCTCCAGTATATCAAAGGGAAACCTACACCATGGGGAGTGAAGATGTATTTCCTCTGTGGCAAAAGTGGGCTTGCTTGTGATTTCCTCATCTTTCAAGGTGCCACAACAGAGCTTTCTGAGCAAAGTAAAAAGCTTCTAGGGCTTGGAGCTTCTGTTGTCTTCCACCTGTGCCAGAGAATCCAGGCTCCCAACCACAAGCTCTTTTTTGACAACTATTTCACCACCTACAATGTCCTTGAAGTTCCTGCAGACAATAAAATCCATGCTGCTGGAACAGCAAGGCTTTGCCGCTTTGCAAATCCGCCACTGAAGAAAGACAAGGAAATGTCTAAGAAAACACGGGGAAACCATGATGAAGTTAGAAGTAGGGATGGAAAAGTTGTTCTAGTGAAGTGGTTTGATAACCGCTCTGTTGTACTGGCCTCCAACTTTGTTGGTGTTGGAGATGAAGATGAAGTTGAGAGGTGGGATAAGAAAGAGAGAAAGTTTGAGAAGGTCAAGCGTCCAGAGGTTGTGAAGAAATACAACAGGGGCATGGGAGGGGTGGACAAGCTTGATCAGCTAATCAGCCTTTACAGGATTGATATCAAGTCCCGCAAATGGCCACTGCGCATGATTACTCATGGTTTTGATGTTGCTCTAGTGAATATCTGGCTTGAGTATCGCAGGGACATTGAATACAAAGGAACTCAGCCACAGAAATTCATGGATCTCCTTGAATTCAAAATGAATGTGGCCAAAGTGCTTGTGCGTTCTGGGAAGCCACAGGGTTAAAAAAAAAAAAAAAACGAGAAAAGCCAAGCAATTCTAACGAAGCCAGTACCTCTCAATCTCCACATGATGAAGCTGGACAAAAGAGAGGGGCAAGGGAATGGCGGCCAGTTCTTGAAGTCCAAAAAGATATGGTTGACCACCTGCCAAATTAAGATGCAAAAAAAGAAGCAACAAGATGCGAATTGGAAGGTTGTTCTGGGAAAACACACATGTTCTGTGATAAGTGCAAGGTGCACTACTGCTTTGTGTCACAGAGAAATTGTTTCAAAGATGCACACAGGAAATTACTCTAACATGACTTGATTCCTAAGTTTATTTAGTTTGTTACAATAAATGTAAAATCTGTCAAACAAAAACTCAAAATTAAAGTTGAAATGTTAAATTTAAGTAAAAAAAAAAGGTAATATGTTATCAACAATTGTTGTTTATAATTTTATTTCATGTTGGTAACTTTTTTTCAAGTACTCCTGTTTTGACCTGACGTCCATTGAAATGGACAAAAAAATGTGCAATTAAAGAGTATTGAAATTTGTAATATTTGTATTTGGTCTCATTTATAGACGCCTCACGTAAATGTACTTTCAGTATTTTTCGGAAACTGGTAACATAATTCAGGTCTGAAGGGGTTAACAAACTGTAGAAACACCTGTACGAAAAGGGGCTGAATCCGAAATCGCCCCTTAAACCCTCATTCACTATTCCCTACGTTAGTCCACTAATACTGTTCACTTGAAGGAGTGTCAGTGAAGGAAAACGAGTGAGGGAATTCGGACAGCCGTTGAGCGTAACTTACATCGGCTGTACACTCGTTATTGCGGTGCAATGTAGGATTGAATAAGTGCACTCAATAACGTGCACTATGGTTTCGGACACCACTACAAATGGCTGTCCCTTCAAATAAAGTCTCTGTCAGACTATCACGAATACCGTAAAACAGTCGTAATGCTAGATAGTGATTTCAGGCTAGGCCTAACTTTACTAAGTTTATCACCGTAGTAACGTTAGCACATCTATAAACGGGTTTGCTAATGTTTGAATTACTTTATGCTAGCTAACTGGGATAGCTTGGATTCATTTCCAATCGATTTCACTTTCCGGAGATGATTAAAACGGACTAAAGGGAACTTCGATTTTTTAAAATATAAAATTCAGTTTTAGAATATATTCAACGTCTCAGCAATTACACAATACTCAATGTTATAAGACGATATGACTTACTTTTCGTAATCCGGCTGCAGAAGCTTGTGTTGACTGTCACTGGACCGTTCATTGCTGAATGTGGAAACCATTTAACCCAACAGCCGGGTTATTTACATTTTGTTAATTGTAATTGCTTACATTGTTTTACTATTAGAGTAAAATAATGATAATAATAATTTTAAAAAAGTGTCAATTGATTAAAAAAAAAATAACTAGATCAATCACACATTTTTTCTGATTAATCACGAATAAATCGCAATTAAAAACACTTAGGCTACGTTTTTAATATATATTTTGTAATGTTGTAGAAACAAAATAAAGACAGGATATTTTAAATTCTAGTTTAATGGCATCTTTTTATGAATAAAGGCCATTACTGATACTCCTACTGATGTCTTGATGAAAATGATTCCCCATTTTAAACACTAATTATAGGCCTTCGACATCAGAGTCAAGGCAGGACTTAGAGCGGTGGAGGCCCCTGGGCTTCAGTCATTTTCGGGCCTTACTTTCTACATATGACTTTAAATAGAACAACATGATACACACACGAGCTATGTAGCTACACGATTCTGGATAAATTGAGAATATAAAAAAGAGATCACGATTCTCTACAAACAACTAAACAAAATTACAATTTATTAGAGGTTCTGACAAAATGTCAATTGCTGCAGTCTATTTAAAAGGTTTAATTAAATAAAAAAACTAAAAAACTTGGTCTGAATTAATTAATCAGTGACTCACTCAAATACTTCACTTGTTTTATTACTGGATAAATGAGCATTTTTGAACAAATCTCCTGAATGAATGATTCAATGACAAATATTTTAACAGTCACTTGACGCCATCTGGTGGCGTAACAATGTCAGCGATCCAATCGTTTTTACAGTGTGTTAATGTTGAAAAAATGAATCATTTATTTATTTGAACACTGATTGAAGGTTGAAAACTTTTTACCAATAAATAAATAATGATTAAAAAATAATTTCATTCAACTGTAGGGGTAATATTAGATAGCAATTATAATGCAATATAATACAGGACGTGCTCTCAGTTGCAAGATATCAAAATAACACATTAAACAGTGCAAGATAAAGAATGTGTGTGTGTAGTACGTAAGTGAGTAGATGGGTGTTTTAGTGACCTTTGAAAAACATCAAGACTATGCACACAAATTAACAATTTACAGTAAATAAAAAAATACTACACTATCACAGCTTAAACAAGCATGACATCATCCAACAGTAGAATCCAGAGGCTGATCATTTAAGAGTTTATAATAAGATGATGTCCGATATATTCTCCCTTGTGCCTTTTTGCGCGCATTTTCCAAGGAATTTAATAATAAAACGGTTACAATACGGGTGCACTAAATAATATGCATTAATTCATGCTTAACTAATGCATAGATAATCATGAGTTAATGTATGATTCATGATTAACTAAACCATTAATTAATGATTACTGCATCAGCAACTAATAAAGAGTCTATATGATTCATAGATTAAGTAATACATAAATTGCTATTAATTCAATGTGTCATTGTGTATTAATTCCTTAATAACATATTTTATTAACTAATAGTGTAAATTAATGTGTTAATTACCACAATTAGTCAAAGCTATGCACTCCAACTTCCAGTTGTCTGCTTTAATTAATCATTAGCTAATGATTTGCAAAGGTATCATTATGTTATGACTTAACTTGTTGAGGCACATCATTATTAACTAGTCATTTAGTAATTGTAGTAATTTACACATGAATTTGCACTAACAATGAAGTAATTAATCATGTATTAATGCATATTAGTGTACCTGTATTACCTGGAAGTTGAAATACAAGGCTTTGGCTCATTCTGGTAATTAACATATTAATTAACACTATTAGTTAAAAAATGAGTTATTAGGGAATTCATTCACAATTACATATTTAATTAATAATAATTAATGTATGAACTAATACATTAACCATAAAGACTCTTAATTAGTTCCTAATGTGGTAATCATAAATGAATAGCTTAGATAATCATCACACATTAATTCAGTATTATCTGTGCATTAGTTAAGCATGAATTAATGCTTATTAGTGCACCCGTATTGTAAAGTGTTACCAATAAAACTGTTCAGAAAGAATAAATCTCATATGTATTAAAGAAAACGCCCAAGTTGAATTTGTAACTCTTCAATAAATGTGTTCAGATTCGATGTGTGCTCCTGTGCGCGTGCATGCGTATATGAGTGATTCGAATTTTAGTTGCTATAGCGACGCGTGTTATGAATTCTGAATGCATATTTACAGTTGAACCGATCGCTGTCTGTTGGTTGAGAGACGAGGCGAATTCACAGACTTTTGCAGAATATTTTCTGAGCGAATCTTGTGACTTTGAAGCTGATTTCTGAGAGGAGACTTTTATTCTAGAAGGACAGCGGAGAATATATCCTTTATAGATTTATATTTTTGAAAGAGATCTTATCATTTCTGAGGATACTTTTATTTTTTAGTTCTTTTCTTACTTTAGAAGGAGTTTTATTACATTTTTTTGTTTTGTTTTATTTATTATTTTGTGAAGGAGAGTTGCATTTTATTATTGTATTGTATTTTGTGCTGTATTTTGTGTTGTGTTTATTGCAGTTTGGAGGGGGATGTCGATGGCTCACATGATGGGTGAAAGAGGAGGTGAGTGCTTTAGTTTTTCATTTATGGTTTATGGTGTGATTTTGTACAATGACTGACTACATTAATGTGAAGAACCCGTTTGATCCCTCAGTCTAATCACATGTATTTGATTCCTTGCATGTGAAATTTGAGTAACCGAAGTAACAATTTGTAATTGACCACTGACATTGATTATTGATTATTATTATTAAACATTACTAACTACAGTATGTGATGTGTGAAATATTCCAGCCTCAGGCCGCTCCAGATCCAGGAGAGCTGCTTTCTCTCAGACGGCTGGTCAGGAGGTTTGGAGACCCGGTTCTGATGACCGTGATCAGGATCCGCTGCCAGACCCGACCCAGACACAGAGCCAGGATCTTCCTGGATATTTAACACCTCTGTCTTCTGAGTCTGTTTCTGTGTCCACAGGTCAGGCTGACAGGAGGAGGACGAGGAAGAGCGGCAGCCAGAAGAGCCCGGATGATGGACGTCCGTTCACTTCATCTAAACACTCTCGCAGAGGTCAGAATAGGCTTTAATAAAGAAGTTCTGGCTCAGTTTCTAGTTCTATTTTCAATGGCTGATTTGTCATTGAAATAAGTTGAACCAACTAAAGTAACAATTTGGTGTGACCACTGACATTGATTATTCATATTAATAGCCTATATATAAAAAAGAAACAGTTTTTGATGTGTGAAATTTTCCAGCCTCAGGCCGCTCCAGATCCTGGAGAACTGCTTCCACTGATTGTTCTCCGGGCATCATGTCATCATCAGCTTTGTCCCTCTCTGAGGTCAATGTGGAGCGCTGGTTCTGTAGAGAGTCGTTGAGTCTGAGCAGCAGAGGCTCGTACAGCGTGGAATGGAGGAGGAGTGGCGATGGATCGGAGAGCCCAAACCAACAGGACAGTTGCAGCGACTGCTGTTTGTCCAGGTCCCACAGCCTGGAAGGGTTGCTGTGCCCTCCGCTGCCCGGGCAAGTTCCTGTCGAGCCAACAGAGACTTCAAATGGCCGAACTGCTCAGGGTGCCATGGAGGCTTCTCCTGTGAACAAGAGCTCAACAGGTGAGGCTGAAATAAGGCTGGGCAGAGTCAAGTCTACAGAGACATTTGGCTTTTTCATGCAAATATTTCAGTTTTTAACATGTTAATGTCCGGTCACATTTACTGTTGCTCAGCAAAATTTATCTGAATTAAAAAAAAAGAATTATTAATATTTTAATTGGACATTCGTCTAACATTTTCAGAACATTCAAAAGTAACGTTCCCATAATGCAAAATGATAAAATAGATTGTTTTTTTAACCAGTTGAAAAAACATTTTTTGAAATGACATTTTCACAATTTAATGGAAACGTTAGCAAAACGTTCTCAATAAGCGATGAACTCGATGGTACTCGCTCTGTCTGACACACACCAGAAACACGCGCACAGAAAGCCGCTTCTCAGCAAACGATCCAGAATAGAATTATATTTCTATTGCTCTTGAATTGTGTTTTATGAAATTGCACTATAAATAAACCAATACCAATAAAAGATCAGATAAATGAGAAAAATAACTATATCGTGATAATTGCGAAATTAAATGACTATTAATATTGTGAAATAAGATTTTGGGAAATGTATGCAGGCATTAAGCAGAAGTCAGGCGGGTAGCGTGGGAATATTTCATTACTTTGGATCTGTTACATTACAGATAAGAATTTAACAGTGATATGTAAATGATGTCATTATTGCTTAATTTGACGTCAGAGATCATGTTTCTAATAGTTGTGTTTTCAATTGTTTTTTCTTGATTTCAGACAAAGCTACAGAATCTAGGAAGAACGGAACGGGTTGTTTCCTCTACAGGCTCTGGAAGGCTGTGAAGTGTGTTTTCTGCTGCTGTTGCCACTGTAGTGCTGTGAATGTTGTGGAGCCTTTTGTTCCTCCAGCAGATCTGGAGCCAGAGCCTGATCCTGATCCATCATCTCCTGCTCCTGATCACTCCGGCGTCAAGACAAATAATGGTACATCGCCACTCATTATTCTCCAGCATTATTCTAAACAGTATTATCTTGTTTTCCACTAAAAATAAGGCTTGTTTTCAGAATATTTCCACCATTATAATATTATTATCTAGCAAACTAATATTTTTCTGTTTGTTTTTCAGAGTCCTTTGAGTCTCTCTATAGCGTTATAAAGATGATTGGATCTGGAGGATTTGGCAGGGTGTACCAGGGAACACGCAAATTTGATGGCAAAAAGGTCAATCTTACCGAATTGTACAAACATTTTGCTCTTGCATGCATCAAAACATATTTAAAACAATTCACAGATGGTTTAATACTTAGTGCTTGAATACTGTTATTGAAACTGGGTTGTTTTTTTGCAGGTTGCCATCAAGCGGATTCGCAAGATTGACAACAATCGTTATCTTAATATTGTAAGTTGGCCAAAAGCTGAATATATATATTTGAGTTGTTTAAGTGCAGATTACTATTGGATAAGATTACTTATCTAAAAAGATCAAAGAAAAGTACATTTAAAAATGATGCGTTTTCTTCAGATTTTTACCCTGCTAACCTTCCGTCTGCTACTTTTCTCTAGCCTGGGCATCCCGAACCTCTCGTTACAGAAGTGGCGCTGCTGATGATGATGAGGCGAGAACCCATAAGCCCCTTCGTCATACAACTATACGAGTGGTTTGAACATCCTAAAGAATTCACTCTGGTTATGGAGTATCCTGAACCCTACGATATCTTGCTGGACTTCATCACTCGTAATCATCAAATGCATGAACCAACAGCACGGTTCATCATGCGACAGGCTGTGCTGGCAGTGCAACACTGCATCCATCATGGGGTTTTCCACAATGACATCCATGCGCAGAATTTCCTGTTGAAGAGAGACCCGGTACAGCTCAAGCTGATAGACTTTGGCTGCGGTCAGCTGTTTAGTAGAGAGGGCTACGAGAGCAACATTTACATTGGTGAGCATTCTGGGAGTGTGGAAACCTGAATGTAGTGACTTACTAATTATTTGATGTTTAAAAAAAAAAGCTCAACAATATGCAAATGTGTTGCTTACAGGAGCACCGGATTACTGCCCACCTGAAGTCTTGACAGAACCTCGATTCCACGCCGTCCCAGCAAATGTCTGGTCTCTAGGAGTGTTGTTGTACAAGATGATGAACGGATGTTCTCCTTTTCGCAATAGAAGAAAAATCACACAAGCCAAAGTTACATTTCTGAACCCCACCTTATCCAAAAGTGAGTGAATAATATTGATACATTGATAAACACACACATAAAGCAAAGGCGTTGTACAGAAACAGTTAAAGGTGAAGTATGTAAGATTTTTTATATACAGCTCAATGTATAGTAGAGTTTGGGGCGTCGCTACTGTAGCAGGCGGAGCCATGGGAAAAGAAATGCAGCTTTAGTTACAGAAGTGAAAGCCAAAATTCACTGCATTTATACCTTCAAAGATTAAACAGGTCATGAACACGTCAAAGTGAACAGAGCATTGTGATGCTACGCGCTACAAAGCACGCTTCAATACCATACAGCATCATCATGGACCCGTTCAGAAAGACACATTTTCGTAAAGACAAATGCAACACAGCTAAAAGTATTCCTAATATGTTGGACCTGAAACATGAACCAGTAAGAGCTGCGTTTGTGATGTTTAAGTCGGGGAAGACGCGATGCACGGAAGGGGCCTTTGCAAGGTTTTTTGAAAATATGCTTTATTTTGTCATTTATTCCTCTCGCTGCCACTAGTGTCGCAGAAACGACATACTTCACTTTTAAAGTAAAGATAAGTCACATTTTGCAGTGTATTAATCATGTTTTAGATGCTGTTTTCATAGATGCCAGGTCACATGGTCATGACTAACCAGCTCTCTCCTTATTCAAATTTGTACAGAATGCAGGGATCTGATTAGCCAGTGTCTAGCCCGGGATCCAACTAAACGCCCAACATTAGAGCAGATGTTACAACATAAATGGATTAGTAATGATCTACAGTAGATTGGAGAAGTTCAGGAGATTCACTCGATCAGTTTCAGGTGTGAGGAAGTGTAACAGAGAGCAGGATTATTACCTTTTGTCTTCAATTCTGGATTATTTGTAGTGAGATTTTCAAATTTGTGTTCATTGTAATGTTCTTGCTATAGTCAAGTCACCTTCATTTATATAGCGCTTTATACAATATAGTTTGTTTCAAAGCGGCTTCACGGTAATAAACAGGAGAATAACAGAATCAGTGATGCAAACAGAATTAAATTCTGTTCTAAATCAGCTCTAAAAAATCATTCATGAGTTGACTTATTCATATAATCTTTGTATTGGATAGGAAATGACATACTTGCTGAGAGCTCTGAGCTCGAGACTCGACCCGAAGCCTGAAGTCCAACTCCATCCTGACAGGAACTCAGAGTCTGTCCACGTCTGAGCAAGAACACGAGAGACTGCAAGACTGGAACGAAGTCATCAAGTCATCACACACACATTTGCTTTGTTTTAAAGGTCAAGACAAGTCATCTTCTACAAACATTTGTGAAAGAATGTGTCGCTCTCAGGAGCTCAGTGAATTCAAGTGTGGTACCGTGATAGGTTGCCAACTATTCATGAAATTTCCTCACTATTAAATATTCCACGGTCAACTGTTAGTGGTATTATAACAAAGTGGAAGCAATTGGGAACAACAGCAACTTAGCCTCGAAGTGGTAGGCCACGTAAAATCACAGAGCGTGGTCAGTGCATGCTGAGGCGCACAGAAGTCGACAACTTTCTGCAGTCAATAGCTACAGACCTCCAAACTTAAGAAAAAGATTAATATTTTAACGCCATTTTGTATTGTTTAATTTGTTTTGTTTTTTATTGTATTTTGTTCAATGCGTTTATATTTTGTACGCTGCATGGTTTCTTTTTATGCTTTTAAATGCTCAATGTTCTATTGTACAGCACAGTGTGCAGCTCTGTTGCTTTTAAATGTGCTATAGAAATACATTTTGACTTGACTTTAATTTGTGTCATTGATTCTTTTTAGATGCTCATGAACAGAGAGAGTTGAAAGGCACTGTAAAATGCCAAAAAGTAAATGCAGACCCAGTACTTTTAAAGCCCATTCACACCAAGAACAATAACTATAATTGTAACTCTATTAGCGTCCACACCAATGACCGATAACACTGTTCACTCTAAGGATTTACTGCAGTTTTGTCGTCTGCCACTTTAAATGCTGGAGCTCTGTCAAGTGGAATGGATTCTGATTGGCTGTCAATGTTTTTATTGTTCATTAGCAGGAAACAAATCTGAAAGTTATTCCAAGATATTGTTTCTCTGTGCGTTATAGTTGTGGTGGGGACTCTGCTCTTCTTTTTAGATTTAGAATGATTTTTTAAAAAAGAAATCTTTATCATTATAGTTATCATGCTAGGTGTGAACGGGCATTTAGCACGGTAAAAAGAAAGGTATTCAGGATTGCAATTTGTCAGAATACCGATATGAGAAACAGAGAGTTCCTCCTCACTACACGTGTCACAAGTTCAAAAGAGACTATTGAGAGGATTCTCCATCCTGATAACGTCATTTATGTTGACAAACAAAAAGTATTAATACATATATAGCTGCAAGAAGTAATTTTTGGGGCAGAGCATGTCAAAACCAAAGTGACAGGCTAAGCAAGCATGGCAGGGAGCTTGCTGACAAATGGGCAAAACCATAGACTGTAAAAAAAGATGGACGACGCCCCTTCACTTTCTTCCATTGGTGAAAAGTGAAGCCGCCAAAGTCCTAATATGGCGCTGACATTTGGGACCTGCTTCTGCGCAGTAGTGAGCGGGAAGTGGAGCCCACCCTCACTCTCGCAGAAACAGTTAGTACAAAGTTTACTGTGTGAAATAATAAACAGTTATGAAATTAGAGTTAAAATTAAAGTTGAAGCTCCAATCTCCTCCCGAAAATCTCCCAAAAAAGTCTGTTGGTGCCTCGGTGACTGTTGTAGCAAACTAGCTCTATTAAATATTAATTAACAATCATAACTTGTTATAATTGATTATGAATATTTGGATCAGTTAATCGGGTTAACTTGATGTAGCTACATTAACATTACAACCAATTACTCGGTTAATCCCGTGAACACTCAATATTGGTTAATAATTTGTTTTATAGAAATTTACATTTCCGGGGCATGGGAAATGTCTTTCTTACTAAGTACTACCAGAGACTATTTATATAGAGACATGCCACTTCCTCAATCCTCAATACAACTATATAGGGAAAACCCGTAACGTCAAAGATGGCGGTTGTATGCATATGTCCCGCCCCTCCCGCTGGAAAGCCAATCGTCTGCTTTTAACAGTCAAGCCGGGAAACATTTAAGCCTATCGTCTGGTTCCACTGACGCATGCGCACAGTTGAGGTTTGCGACAGCGGAGACGATTTGGCGACAGCGAGTTGTTTTGTGCCATAGTGTTGTGTGCAAGATCAGATGGAATCCACATGGAAGAGGGTGATAATAACAACGCGAAAACACCGGACTACCAAGGTAGTTGTGGCGAGCAGGCCGAGGACGAGGGACGTGAGAGAGCTGCGTGAGGCCGGTGGCGTGATTACTGATGAGCGGCACCTGCGCGACGCATCGGTCTCGTGTCTCTCACGGAGGAGCGGAGGCATAAAAGGTGGAGCGACGACATGGAGATCGAGAGAGGAACAGGCCTGATTTTATGTTGTGTTTTGTTTCTGTTTTGTGTGGCCAGCAGCTCGTCCGGGGCTGCAGGCATACTTCCATTTTTGGATTTGTTTATTTATTAAAATAGTTGAATGTTCGCCGGTTCCTGCCTCCTTCTTCCCATAACATCTGAACCTTGTTACAGTAGTTAAAGCATTTTATATCGACCACTAATATGTTACCTTACATTCTAAGTATGTGCTGTAGTAGAGCACGACACCGGCATTCTGGATAGAGACGTAAATGAAGTTGGTGTCGTGAACCCTTGCGCATGCGTAGTAAAAGTATAACCTGTGGGGGAAAAGGTGTTTTAAACCTTCTTTTGGGGCAAAGTCATCAAACTTTTTCAGCGATTTTTATCATATTTTACTGCTGTTTCTATACATGCAGTTTTTATGTCCCGATGACCAGTGAAAGTGCAGTTCTGAGTCTCTTCCCATTCATTTAGATAGGAGCCTGGTCTTGTTAGTCGGAAATAGCTGCCCGGAGGCGTTACCAAGATGGCGGCCGAGTGGCATGACTTGCCTAAAAGGACTTTGGTACTACTAAGAGCAAGTAGTCAAGATCTATGATTAGTGACTCCAGATATGAGCTTGAGACACGGACAACTTTACGTGTGATATAAAAAAGACTTTATTAACTTAACTAGACTAAACATTTAAACTACTCTAACATACACATACATACCTGTACATGCATACAGTTCACCAAGGGAAAGCTGAAGCAGAATACAGGAAAGCAAAAGTTATAGCATTGTTTGATGTTCAGCAGATCAACAGCCTGAGCAAACCATCAGTTTAGTTCTAACACGCCCTTCTTTAAAAGGGGTAAGGATACTTAATGTATCAAATAATGAGACTAAGTTTGATACTTGCATGTCTCGTCCAATTGCATTAAACTGTCCTGATGCAATTTGTTGAGGCTCCAGTTGATCTTTGCTGATGTGGTCTTGATGAGAGAGAACCATTGGTAGTCAGAGGATCTTTGGTGAATGGAAAGACAAGGCCGCAGCCTGGCGCAAGCTTGGGAGTCCTTGAGGGACTTCTAGTTCAGCATCATCTTCACGTTACTTCTCAAGAAGGTCCGAGAGAGTAAGAGATCCAGAGGCTACACTCAAAAAAATGATATGTTGGCTTTACTTAACTTTTTTTTGTAAACAGGTTCCACCGGTTCCACATAACTATGTTTCGTTAAACAAACATAATATGTTCATGTAACTTCAACATCATGGAATTTGGTCATTTTAAGCGACCCAATTAAACTCTGAGCTAATGAGTTAATTAAGTGAATAACTGAGTGATGATTGAGCATTATTGAAGACACCTGATGTTAACAAGCAGAATCTCTGAAGGAGAAAACGGGAATGTTTAAGTCACCATTATGGAGATAAGTATTCGTTTTAGTTGGGCTCTTGACCATTAATTTATTAACTTTAGATTTTGTTTGGTTGCTATACATGAGTTATAACAGCCGGATGAACAACAAACAAAGGTCATCTGATGGTATTGGTTGTGTTTTAACATAATAATTATTTCACAATCATTTGACCTGAGTCACTGAACTTATATTAAACCGAATTTCTGAGTTAAGTTTACCTTATGGATAATAACAGCACTGTCATTGTAGAGCATACTATTTTTAGATTTTTCAATGAAATTCAAATGACCAAATCAAGAAATAAAAAAGAAACTTCCTAAAAAAAATATTTAGAATAGGCACACACAGACATCAAGAATCAGCATATGAATCTCAGCAATGGTGACAAACAGATCATAAGCTCATTATTTATTAATGCAGCAATGCATGATGGGAGCCATGAATGAGTTTTGATTGGTGGCACCCAGAATGCACTGCAACATGCTTTATAATTGTCACCATTGGTGAGATTTACAGGCTGATTCTTGATGTCTGTGTGTGTCTACTGAAAATATTTTTTAGGAAGTTTATTTTTTATTTATTGATTTGATCATTTGAATTTCATTGAAAAGTAAAAAAAATAGTATGCTCTACAATGACAGTGCTGTTATTATCCATAAGGTAAACTTTCGAAATTCGGTTTAATATAAGTTCAGTGACTCAGGTCAAATGATTATGAAATAATGATTATGTTAAAACACAACCAACACCATCAGATGACCTTTGTTTATTGTTCATCCGGCTGTTATAATTCATGTACAGCAACCAAACAAAATCTAAAGTTAATAAGTTAATGGTCAAGAGCCCAACTAAAACGAATACTTATCTCCATAATGGTGACTTAAACATTCCGGTTTTCTCCTTCAGAGATTCTGCTTGTTAACATCAGGTGTCTTCAATAATGCTCAATCATCACTCAGTTATTCACTTAATTAACTCATTAGCTCAGAGTTTAATTGGGTCGCTTAAAATGACCAAATTCCATGATGTTGAAGTTACATGAACATATTATGTTTGTTTAACGAAACATAGTTATGTGGAACCGGTGGAACCTGTTTACAAAAAAAAGTTAAGTAAAGCCAACATATCATTTTTTTGAGTGTAAGAGCGCAAGAGGCTAAGTGGACAAGAGACAAGAGCAAAAGGAGCAAGAGGGAGCTGATCTTGATGATCAGTGATTTTAAAGCGTGAAGACGTCACACCCTCTGGAGGTGCGTGAGCCTATGGGAAGCTGCCCCTTTGGAGGGAGTTTTACGACTCATTGTCTTCTAGCAAGGCATTTGAATGTTTAATTTCATTGGGTGTTTACGAAAAGAATCTACAAGATTCTTATAATACTAATGTGTCATAAAATGAAATGTAAATTAACAAATGGGGGACGAAGATTGGAGTTTATAAAGACTAAACATACAACACATATGATTTTGGTTAACCATAGTATGCAAGTCATGTCTCAAACCAAAATAGTTTAGAAGAGAGAATGAATACATAGGCCAAACCACATAAAAGGAAAATTATGATTGAAAATTAGATATTAATACATTTATCACATGGTTATATATATAGAATATATAGGATTAAAAGGGTTCATTTATTCTTCTCAGCAAGAATTAAGAGAGTGTCACAATTCCCTGCACATTCTTTTGGGTCATAAAACTTCAGTCTTACTGTGTACTGTAACAGGACACCGAGTTCTGCCAGTGTGTAGGCTTCATTTGTGGGGGAAGTTTCATATAACTTTGTTGGAAGAGTGATTTTGTTGGATTCTTCATTAAATATAATGATTAATTTGTGTGTGTCTGATTGGTCCAGATGCTACACTATTTCGTTGAGAGAAGCTTTCAATCATGACGTCACATCAGGCCTCCTGGAGACACTGATGTTTTCTTCAAGGTCAGACCAATCTATGAGTCCATAAGGAAACGCTGTCTGCAGCTACAACTGGAGGAAGATCTCTGTATTGATGAGCAGATTGTGCCTTTCAGAGGAAAACTCTCTGTGCTCCAGTATATCAAAGGGAAACCTACACCATGGGGAGTGAAGATGTATTTCCTCTGTGGCAAAAGTGGGCTTGCTTATGATTTCCTCATCTATCAAGGTGCCACAACAAAGCTTTCTGAGCAAAGTAAAAAGCTTCTAGGGCTTGGAGCTTCTGTTGTCTTCCACCTGTGCCAGAGAATCCAGGCTCCCAACCACAAGCTCTTTTTTGACAACTATTTCACCACCTACAATGCCCTTGAAGTTCCTGCAGAAAAGAAAATCCATGCTGCTGGAACAGCAAGGCTTTGCCGCTTTGCAAATCCGCCACTGAAGACAGACAAGGAAATGTCTAAGAAAACACGGGGAAACCATGATGAAGTTAGAAGTAGGGATTAAAAAGTTGTTCTAGTGAAGTGGTTTGATAACCGCTCTGTTGTACTGGCCTCCAACTTTGTTGGTGTTGGAGATGAAGATGAAGTTGAGAGGTGGGATAAGAAAGAGAGGAAGTTTGAGAAGGTCAAGCGTCCAGAGGTTGTGAAGAAATACAACAGGGGCATGGGAGGGGTGGACAAGCTTGATCAGCTAATCAGCCTTTACAGGATTGATATCAAGTCCCGCAAATGGCCACTGCGCATGATTACTCATGGTTTTGATGTTGCTCTAGTGAATATCTGGCTTGAGTATCGCAGGGACATTGAATACAAAGGAACTCAGCCACAGAAATTCATGGATCTCCTTGAATTCAAAATGAATGTGGCCAAAGTGCTTGTGCGTTCTGGGAAGCCACAGGGTTAAAAAAAAAACGAGGGAGGCCAAGCAATTCTAACGAAGCCAGTACCTCTCAATCTCCACATGATGAAGCTGGACAAAAGAGAGGGGCAAGGGAATGGCGGCCAGTTCTTGAAGTCCAAAAAGATATGGTTGACCACCTGCCAAATTATGATGCAAAAAAAGAAGCAACAAGATGCAAATTGGAAGGTTGTTCTGGGAAAACACACATGTTCTGTGATAAGTGCAAGGTGCACTACTGCTTTGTGTCACAGAGAAATTGTTTCAAAGATGCACACAGGAAATTACTCTAACATGACTTGATTCCTAAGTTTATTTAGTTTGTTACAATAAATGTGAAATGTGTCAAACAAAAACTCAAAATTAAAGTTGAAATGTTAAATTTAAGTAAAAAAAAAGGTAATATGTTATCAACAATTGTTGTTTATAATTTTATTTCATGTTTGTAACTTTTTTTCAAGTACTCCTGTTTTGACCTGACGTCCATTGAAATGGACAAAAAAATGTGCAATTAAAGAGTATTGAAATTTGTAATATTTGTATTTGGTCTCATTTATAGACGCCTCACGTAAATGTACTTTCAGTATTTTTCGGAAACTGGTAACATAATTCAGGTCTGAAGGGGTTAACAAACTGTAGAAACACCTGTACGAAAAGGGGCTGAATCCGAAATCGCCCCTTAAACCCTCATTCACTATTCCCTACGTTAGTCCACTAATACTGTTCACTTGAAGGAGTGTCAGTGAAGGAAAACGAGTGAGTGAATTCGGACAGCCGTTGAGCGTAACTTACATCGGCTGTACACTCGTTATTGCGGTGCAATGTAGGATTGAATAAGTGCACTCAATAACGTGCACTATGGTTTCGGACACCACTACAAATGGCTGTCCCTTCAAATAAAGTCTCTGTCAGACTATCACGAATACCGTAAAACAGTCGTAATGCTAGATAGTGATTTCAGGCTAGGCCTAACTTTATTAAGTTTATCACCGTAGTAACGTTAGTACATCTATAAACGGGTTTGCTAATATAATGTTTGAATTACTTTATGCTAGCGAGCTAACTGGGATAGCTAGGATTAATTTCCAATCGATTTCACTTTGCGGAGATGATTAAAACGGACTAAAGAGAACTTTTTAGTTTTAGAATATATTCAACGTCTCAGTAATTACACAATACTTAATGTTATAAGACGATATGACTTACTTTTCGTAATCCGGCTGCAGAAGCTTCTTTGTGTTGACTGTCACTGGACCGTTCATTGCTGAATGTGGAAACCATTTAACCCAACAGCCGGGTAATTTACATTTTTGTGATTGCTTACATTGTTTTACTATTAGAGTAAAATAATGATAATAATAATTTTAAAAAAGTGTCAATTGATAAAAAAAAAAAAACTAGATCAATCACACATTTTTTCTGATTAATCGCGAATAAATCGCAATTAAAAACACTTACGTTTTTAATATATATTTTGTAATGTTGTAGAAACAAAATAAAGACAGGATATTTTAAATTCTAGTTTAATGGCATCTTTTTATGAATAAAGGCCATACTGATACTCCTACTGATGTCTTGATGAAAATGATTCCCCATTTTAAACACTAATTATAGGCCTTCGACATCAGAGTCAGGGCAGGACTTAGAGCGGTGGAGGCCCCTGGGCTTCAGTCATTTTCGGGCCTTACTTTCTACATATGACTTTAAATAGAACAACATGATACACACACGAGCTATGTAGCTACACGATTCTGGATAAATTGAGAATATAAAAAAGAGATCACGATTCTCTACAAACAACTAAACAAAATAACAATTTATTAGAGGTTCTGACAAAATGCAGTCTATTTAAAAGGTTTAATTAAATAAAAAAATAAAAATAAAAAAACTTGGTCTTAATTAATTAATCAGTGACTCACTCAAATACTTCACTTGTTTTATTACTGGATAAATCAGCATTTTTGAACAAATCTCCTGAATGAATGATTCAATGACAAATATTTTAAGTCACTTGTCGCCATCTGGTAGCGTAACAATGTCAGGGATCCAATCGTTTTTACAGTGCGTTAATGTAAAAAAAAAAAAAAAAGAATCATTTATTTATTTGAACACTGATTGAAGGTTGAAAACTTTTTCCCAATAAATAAATAATGATTAAAAAATAATTTCATTCAACTGTAGGGGTAATATTAGATAGCAATTATAATGCAATATAATACAGGACGTGCTCTCAGTTGCAAGATATCAAAATAACACATTAAACAGTGCAAGATAAAGAATGTGTGTGTACGTAAGTGAGTAGATGGGTGTTTAAGTGACCTTTGAAAAACATCAAGACTATGCACACAAATTAACAATTTACAGAAAATAAAAAAAAATACTACACTATCACAGCTTAAACAAGCATGACATCATCCAACAGCAGAATCCAGAGGCTGATCATTTAAGAGTTTATAATAAGATGATGTCCGATATATTCTCCCTTGTGCCTTTTTGCGCGCATTTTTACAAAGAATTTAATAATAAAACTGTTCAGAAAGAATAAATCCCATATGTATTAAAGAAAACGCCCAAGTTGAATTTGTAACTATTCAATAAATGTGTTCAGATTCGATGTGTGCTCCTGTGCGCGTGCATGCGTATATGAGTGATTCGAATTTCAGTTGCTATAGCGACGCGTGTTATGAATTCTGAATGCATATTTACACTTGAACCGATCGCTGTCTGTTGGTTGAGAGACGAGGCGAAATCACAGACTTTTGCAGAATATTTTCTGAGCGAATCTTGTGACTTTGAAGCTGATTTCTGAGAGGAGACTTTATTCTGGACATCGGAGGATATATCCTTTATAGATTTATATTTTTGAAAGAGATCTTATCATTTCTGAGGATAATTTTATAGTTCTTTTCTTACTTTAGAAGGAGTTTTATTACATTTTTTGTTTTGTTTTATTTATTATTTTGTGAAGGAGAGTTGCATTTTATTATTGTATTGTATTTTGTGTTGTGTTTATTGCAGTTTGGAGGAGGATGTCGATGGCTCACATGATGGGTGAAAGAGGAGGTGAGTGCTTTAGTTTTTCATTTATGGTTTATGGTGTGATTTTGTACAATGACTGACTACATTAATGTGAAGAACCCATTTGATCCCTCAGTCTAATCACATGTATTTTAATTAACATTTAATGTGAAATAAACTTTTGAATTTGAGTAACTGAAGCAACAATTTGTAATTGACCACTGACATTGATTATTATTATTAAACATTACTAACTACAGTATGTGATGTGTGAAATATTCCAGCCTCAGGCCGCTCCAGATCCAGGAGAGCTGCTTTCTCTCAGACGGCTGGTCAGGAGGTTTGGAGACCCGGTTCTGATGACCGTGATCAGGATCCGCTGCCAGACCCGACCCAGACACAGAGCCAGGATCTTCCTGGATATTTAACACCTCTGTCTTCTGAGTCTGTTTCTGTGTCCACAGGTCAGGCTGACAGGAGGAGGACGAGGAAGAGCGGCAGCCAGAAGAGCCCGGATGATGGACGTCCGTTCACTTCATCTAAACACTCTCGCAGAGGTCAGAATAGGCTTTAATAAAGAAGTTATGGCTCAGCTTCTAGTTCTATTTTCAATGGCTGATTTGTCATTGAAATAAGTTGAACCAACTAAAGTAACAATTTGGTGTGACCACTGACATTGATTATTCATATTATATAGCCTATATATAAAAAAGAAACAGTTTTTGATGTGTGAAATTTTCCAGCCTCAGGCCGCTCCAGATCCTGGAGAACTGCTTCCACTGATTGTTCTCCGGGCATCATGTCATCATCAGCTTTGTCCCTCTCTGAGGTCAATGTGGAGCGCTGGTTCTGTAGAGAGTCGTTGAGTCTGAGCAGCAGAGGCTCGTACAGCGTGGAATGGAGGAGGAGTGGCGATGGATCGGAGAGCCCAAACCAACAGGACAGTTGCAGCGACTGCTGTTTGTCCAGGTCCCACAGCCTGGAAGGGTTGCTGTGCCCTCCGCTGCCCGGGCAAGTTCCTGTCGAGCCAACAGAGACTTCAAATGGCCGAACTGCTCAGGGTGCCATGGAGGCTTCTCCTGTGAACAAGAGCTCAACAGGTGAGGCTGAAATAAGGCTGGGCAGAGTCAAGTCTACAGAGACATTTGGCTTTTTCATGCAAATATTTCAGTTTTTAACATGTTAATGTCCGGTCACATTTACTGTTGCTCAGCAAAATTGATCTGAATTAAAAAAAAAGAATTATTAATATTTTAATTGGACATTCGTCTAACATTTTCAGAACATTCAAAAGTAATTTTCCCATAATGCAAATTATAAAATAGAGTTCCTTTAACCAAGAAAAAAATATTTGTAACCAGTTGAAAAAACATTTTTTGAAATAACATTTTCACAATTTAATGGAAACGTTAGCAAAACATTCTCAATAAGCGATGAACTCGATGGTACTCGCTCTGTCTGACACACACCAGAAACACGCGCACAGAAAGCCGCTTCTCAGCAAACGATCCAGAATAGAATTATATTTCTATTGCTCTTGAATTGTGTTTTATGAAATTGCACTGTAAATAAACCAATACCAATAAAAGATCAGATAAATAAGAAAAATAACTATATCGTGATAATTGCGAAATGAAATGACTATTAATACTGTGAAATAAGATTTTGGGAAATGTATGCAGACATTAAGCAGAAGTCAGGCGGGTAGCGTGGGAATATTTCATTACTTTGGATCTGTTACATTACAGATAAGAATTTAACAGTGAAATGTAAATGATGTCATTATTGCTTAATTTGACGTCAGAGATCATGTTTCTAATAGTTGTGTTTTCAATTGTTTTTTCTTGATTTCAGACAAAGCTACAGAATCTAGGAAGAACGGAACGGGTTGTTTCCTCTACAGGCTCTGGAAGGCTGTGAAGTGTGTTTTCTGCTGCTGTTGCCACTGTAGTGCTGTGAATGTTGTGGAGCCTTTTGTTCCTCCAGCAGATCTGGAGCCAGAGCCTGATCCTGATCCATCATCTCCTGCTCCTGATCACTCCGGCGTCAAGACAAATAATGGTACATCGCCACTCATTATTCTCCAGCATTATTCTAAACAGTATTATCTTGTTTTCCACTAAAAATAAGGCTTGTTTTCAGAATATTTCCCCCATTATAATATTATTATCTAGCAAACATATATTTTTCTGTTTGTTTTTCAGAGTCCTTTGAGTCTCTCTATAGCGTTATAAAGATGATTGGATCTGGAGGATTTGGCAGGGTGTACCAGGGAACACGCAAATTTGATGGCAAAAAGGTCAATCTTACCGAATTGTACAAACATTTTGCTCTTGCATGCATCAAAACATATTTAAAACAATTCACACATGGTTTAATACTTAGTGCTTGAAAACTGTTATTGAAACTGGGTTTTTTTTTTTTGCAGGTTGCCATCAAGCGGATTCGGAAGATTGACAACAATCGTTATCTTAATATTGTAAGTTGGCCAAAAGCTGAATATGTATATTTAAGTTGTTTAAGTGCAGATTACTATTGGACAAGATTACTTATCTAAAAAGATCAAAGAAAAGTACATTTAAAAATGATGCGTTTTCTTCAGATTTTTACCCTGCTAACCTTCTGTCTGCTACTTTTCTCTAGCCTGGGCATCCCGAACCTCTCGTTACAGAAGTGGCGCTGCTGATGATGATGAGGCGAGAACCCATAAGCCCCTTCGTCATACAACTATACGAGTGGTTTGAACATCCTAAAGAATTCACTCTGGTTATGGAGTATCCTGAACCCTACGATATCTTGCTGGACTTCATCACTCGTAATCATCAAATGCATGAACCAACAGCACGGTTCATCATGCGACAGGCTGTGCTGGCAGTGCAACACTGCATCCATCATGGGGTTTTCCACAATGACATCCATGCGCAGAATTTCCTGTTGAAGAGAGACCCGGTACAGCTCAAGCTGATAGACTTTGGCTGCGGTCAGCTGTTTAGTAGAGATGGCTACGAGAGCAACATTTACATTGGTGAGCATTCTGGGAGTGTGGAAACCTGAATGTAGTGACTTACTAATTATTTGATGTTTAAAAAAAAAAGCTCAACAAAGTGCAAATGTGTTGCTTACAGGAGCACCGGATTACTGCCCACCTGAAGTCTTGACAGAACCTCGATTCCACGCCGTCCCAGCAAATGTCTGGTCTCTAGGAGTGTTGTTGTACAAGATGATGAACGGATGTTCTCCTTTTCGCAATAGAAGAAAAATCACACAAGCCAAAGTTACATTTCTGAACCCCACCTTATCCAAAAGTGAGTGAATAATATTGATACATTGATAAACACACACATAAAGCAAAGGCGTTGTACAGAAACAGTTAAAGGTGAAGTATGTAAGATTTTTTATATATAGCTCAACGTATAGTAGTTTGGGGCGTCGCTACTGTAGCAGGCGGAGCCATGGGAAAAGAAATGCGGCTTTAGTTACAGAAGTGAAAGCCAAAATTCACTGCATTTATACCTTCAAAGATTAAACAGGTCATGAACACGTCAAAGTGAACAGAGCATTGTGATGCTACGCGCTACAAAGCACGCTTCAATACCATACAGCATCATCATGCACCCGTTCAGAAAGACACATTTTCGTAAAGACAAATGCAACACAGCTAAAAGTATTCCTAATATGTTGGACCTGAAACATGAACCAGTCAGAGCTGCGTTTGTGATGTTTAAGTCGGGGAAGACGCGATGCACGGAAGGGGCCTTTGCAAGGTTTTTTGAAAATATGCTTTATTTTGTCATTTATTCCTCTCGCTGCCACTAGTGTCGCAGAAACGACATACTTCACTTTTAAAGTAAAGATAAGTCACATTTTGCAGTGTATTAATCATGTTTTAGATGCTGTTTTCATAGATGCCAGGTCACATGGTCATGACTAACCAGCTCTCTCCTTATTCAAATTTGTACAGAATGCAGGGATCTGATTAGCCAGTGTCTAGCCCGGGATCCAACTAAACGCCCAACGTTAGAGCAGATGTTACAACATAAATGGATTAGTAATGATCTACAGTAGATTGGAGAAGTTCAGGAGATTCACTCGATCAGTTTCAGGTGTGAGGAAGTGTAACAGAGAGTAGGATTATTACCTTTTGTCTTCAATTCTGGATTATTTGTAGTGAGATTTTCAAATTTGTGTTCATTGTAATGTTCTTGCTATAGTCAAGTCACCTTCATTTATATAGCGCTTTATACAATACAGATTGTTTCAAAGCGGCTTCACGGTAATAAACAGGAGAATAACAGAATCAGTGATGCAAACAGAATTAAATTCTGTTCTAAATCAGCTCTAAAAAATCATTCATGAGTTGACTTATTCATATAATCTTTGTATTGGATAGGAAATGACATACTTGCTGAGAGCTCTGAGCTCGAGACTCGACCCGAAGCCTGAAGTCCAACTCCATCCTGACAGGAACTCAGAGTCTGTCCACGTCTGAGCAAGAACACGAGAGACTGCAAGACAGGAACGAAGTCATCAAGTCATCACACACACATTTGCTTTGTTTTAAAGGTCAAGACAAGTCATCTTCTACAAACATTTGTGAAAGAATGTGTCGCTCTCAGGAGCTCAATGAATTCAAGTGTGGTACCGTGATAGGTTGCCAACTATTCATGAAATTTCCTCACTATTAAATATTCCACGGTCAACTGTTAGTGGTATTATAACAAAGTAGAAGCAATTGGGAACAACAGCAACTCAGCCTCGAAGTGGTAGGCCACGTAAAATCACAGAGCGTGGTCAGTGCATGCTGAGGCGCACAGAAGTCGACAACTTTCTGCAGTCAATAGCTACAGACCTCCAAACTTAAGAAAAAGATTCATATTTTAACGCCATTTTGTATTGTTTAATTTGTTTTGTTTTTTATTGTATTTTGTTTAATGCGTTTATATTTTGTACGCTGCATGGTTTCTTTTTATGCTTTTAAATGCTCAATGTTTTATTGTACAGCACAGTGTGCAGCTCTGTTGCTTTTAAATGTGCTATAGAAATACATTTTGACTTGACTTTAATTTGTGTCATTGATTCATTTTAGATGCTCATGAACAGAGAGAGTTGAAAGGCACTGTAAAATGCCAAAAAGTAAATGCAGACCCAGTACTTTTAAAGCCCATTCACACCAAGAACAATAACTATAATTGTAACTCTATTAGCGTCCACACCAATGACCGATAACACTGTTCACTCTAAGGATTTACTGCAGTTTTGTCGTCTGCCACTTTAAATGCTGGAGCTCTGTCAAGTGGAATGGATTCTGATTGGCTGTCAATGTTTTTATTGTTCATTAGCAGGAAACAAATCTGAAAGTTATTCCAAGATATTGTTTCTCTGTGCGTTATAGTTGTGGTGGGGACTCTGCTCTTCTTTTTAGATTTAGAATGATTTTTAAAAAAAGAAATCTTTATCATTATAGTTATCATGCTAGGTGTGAACGGGCCTTTAGCACGGTAAAAAGAAAGGTATTCAGGATTGCAATTTGTCAGAATACCGATATGAGAAACAGAGAGTTCCTCCTCACTACACGTGTCACAAGTTCAAAAGAGACTATTGAGAGGATTCTCCATCCTGATAACGTCATTTATGTTGACAAACAAAAAGTATTAATACATATAGCTGCAAGAAGTAATTTTTGGGGCAGAGCATGTCAAAACCAAAGTGACAGGCTAAGCAAGCATGGCAGGGAGCTTGCTGACAAATGGGCAAAACCATAGACTGTAAAAAAAGATGGACGACGCCCCTTCACTTTCTTCCATTGGTGAAAAGTGAAGCCGCCAAAGTCCTAATATGGCGCTGACATTTGGGACCTGCTTCTGCGCAGTAGTGAGCGGGAAGTGGAGCCCACCCTCACTCTCGCAGAAACAGTTAGTACAAAGTTTACTGTGTGAAATAATAAACAGTTATGAAATTAGAGTTAAAATTAAAGTTGAAGCTCCAATCTCCTCCCGAAAATCTCCCAAAAAAGTCTGTTGGTGCCTCGGTGACTGTTGTAGCAAACTAGCTCTATTAAATATTAATTAACAATCATAACTTGTTATAATTGATTATGAATATTTGGATCAGTTAATCGGGTTAACTTGATGTAGCTACATTAACATTACAACCAATTACTCGGTTAATCCCGTGAACACTCAATATTGGTTAATAATTTTTTTTATAGAAATTTACATTTCCGGGGCATGGGAAATGTCTTTCTTACTAAGTACTACTAAGAGCAAGTAGTCAAGATCTATGATTAGTGACTCCAGATATGAGCTTGAGACACGGACAACTTTACGTGTGATATAAAAAAGACTTTATTAACTTAACTAGACTAAACATTTAAACTACTCTAACATACACATACATACCTGTACATGCATACAGTTCACCAAGGGAAAGCTGAAGCAGAATACAGGAAAGCAAAAGTTATAGCATTGTTTGATGTTCAGCAGATCAACAGCCTGAGCAAACCATCAGTTTAGTTCTAACACGCCCTTCTTTAAAAGGGGTAAGGATACTTAATGTATCAAATAATGAGACTAAGTTTGATACTTGCATGTCTCGTCCAATTGCATTAAACTGTCCGGATGCAATTTGTTGAGGCTCCAGTTGATCTTTGCTGATGTTGTCTTGATGAGAGAGAACCAGTGGTAGTCAGAGGATCTTTGGTGAATGGAAAGACAAGGCCGCAGCCTGGCGCAAGCTTGGGAGTCCTTGAGGGACTTCTAGTTCAGCATCATCTTCACGTTACTTCTCAAGAAGGTCCGAGAGAGTAAGAGATCCAGAGGCTAAGAGCGCAAGAGGCTAAGTGGACAAGAGACAAGAGCAAAAGGAGCAAGAGGGAGCTGATCTTGATGATCAGTGATTTTAAAGCGTGAAGACGTCACACCCTCTGGAGGTGCGTGAGCCTATGCGAAGCTGCCCCTTTGGAGGGAGTTTTACGACTCATTGTCTTCTAGCAGGGCATTTGAATGTTTAATTTCTCAAACCAAAATAGTTTAGAAGAGAGAATGAATACATAGGCCAAACCACATAAAAGGAAAATTATGATTGAAAATTAGATATTAATACATTTATCACATGGTTATATATATAGAATATATAGGATTAAAAGGGTTCATTTATTCTTCTCAGCAAGAATTAAGAGAGTGTCACAATTCCCTGCACATTCTTTTGGGTCATAAAACTTCAGTCTTACTGTGTACTGTAACAGGACACCGAGTTCTGCCAGTGTGTAGGCTTCATTTGTGGGGGAAGTTTCATATAACTTTGTTGGAAGAGTGATTTTGTTGGATTCTTCATTAAATATAATGATTAATTTGTGTGTGTCTGATTGGTCCAGATGCTAAACTATTTCGTTGAGAGAAGCTTTCAATCATGACGTCACATCAGGCCTCCTGGAGACACTGATGTTTTCTTCAAGGTCAGACCAATCTATGAGTCCATAAGGAAACGCTGTCTGCAGCTACAACTGGAGGAAGATCTCTGTATTGATGAGCAGATTGTGCCTTTCAGAGGAAAACTCTCTGTGCTCCAGTATATCAAAGGGAAACCTACACCATGGGGAGTGAAGATGTATTTCCTCTGTGGCAAAAGTGGGCTTGCTTGTGATTTCCTCATCTATCAAGGTGCCACAACAGAGCTTTCTGAGCAAAGTAAAAAGCTTCTAGGGCTTGGAGCTTCTGTTGTCTTCCACCTGTGCCAGAGAATCCAGGCTCCCAACCACAAGCTCTTTTTTGACAACTATTTCACCACCTACAATGCCCTTGAAGTTCCTGCAGAAAAGAAAATCCATGCTGCTGGAACAGCAAGGCTTTGCCGCTTTGCAAATCCGCCACTGAAGAAAGACAAGGAAATGTCTAAGAAAACACGGGGAAACCATGATGAAGTTAGAAGTAGGGATGAAAAAGTTGTTCTAGTAAAGTGGTTTGATAACCGCTCTGTTGTACTGGCCTCCAACTTTGTTGGTGTTGGAGATGAAGATGAAGTTGAGAGGTGGGATAAGAAAGAGAGAAAGTTTGAGAAGGTCAAGCGTCCAGAGGTTGTGAAGAAATACAACAGGGGCATGGGAGGGGTGGACAAGCTTGATCAGCTAATCAGCCTTTACAGGATTGATATCAAGTCCCGCAAATTGCCACTGCGCATGATTACTCATGGTTTTGATGTTGCTCTAGTGAATATCTGGCTTGAGTATCGCAGGGACATTGAATACAAAGGAACTCAGCCACAGAAATTCATGGATCTCCTTGAATTCAAAATGAATGTGGCCAAAGTGCTTGTGCGTTCTGGGAAGCCACAGGGTTAAAAAAAAACGAGGGAGGCCAAGCAATTCTAACGAAGCCAGTACCTCTCAATCTCCACATGATGAAGCTGGACAAAAGAGAGGGGCAAGGGAATGGCGGCCAGTTCTGGAAAGTCCAAAAAGATTTGGTTGACCACCTGCCAAATTATGATGCAAAAAAAGAAGCAACAAGATGCAAATTGGAAGGTTGTTCTGGGAAAACACACATGTTCTGTGATAAGTGCAAGGTGCACTACTGCTTTGTGTCACAGAGAAATTGTTTCAAAGATGCACACAGGAAATTACTCTAACATGACTTGATTCCTAAGTTTATTTAGTTTGTTACAATAAATGTGAAATCTGTCAAACAAAAACTCAAAATTAAAGTTGAAATGTTAAATTTAAGTTAAAAAAAAAGGTAATATGTTATCAACAATTGTTGTTTATAATTTTATTTCATGTTGGTAACTTTTTTTCAAGTACTCCTGTTTTGACCTGACGTCCATTGAAATGGACAAAAAAATGTGCAATTAAAGAGTATTGAAATTTGTAATATTTGTATTTGGTCTCATTTATAGACGCCTCAAGTAAATGTACTTTCAGTATTTTTCGGAAACTGGTAACATAATTCAGGTCTGAAGGGGTTAACAAACTGTAGAAACACCTGTACGAAAAGGGGCTGAATCCGAAATCGCCCCTTAAACCCTCATTCACTATTCCCTACATTAGTCCACTAATACTGTTCACTTGAAGGAGTGTCAGTGAAGGAAAACGAGTGAGGGAATTCGGACAGCCGTTGAGCGTAACTTACATCGGCTGTACACTCGTTATTGCGGTGCAATGTAGGATTGAATAAGTGCACTCAATAACGTCCACTATGGTTTCGGACACCACTACAAATGGCTGTCCCCTCAAATAAAGTCTCTGTCAGACTATCACGAATACCGCAAAAAACAGTCGTAATGCTAGATAGTGATTTCAGACTAGACCTAACTTTACTAAGTTTATCACCGTAGTAACGTTAGTACATCTATAAACGGGTTTGCTAATATAATGTTTGAATTACTTTATGCTAGCGAGCTAACTGGGATAGCTAGGATTCATTTCCAATCGATTTCACTTTCCGGAGATGATTAAAACGGACTAAAGGGAACTTCGATTTTTAAAAATATAAAATTCAGTTTTAGAATATATTCAACGTCTCAGTAAGTACACAATACTTAATGTTATAAGACGATATGACTTACTTTTCGTAATCCGGCTGCAGAAGCTTCTTTGTGTTGACTGTCACTGGACCG